AAGGGATGTTAGATGTATTTTGGATATGAGAATGAACTTGCTTGCTATTAATGTCCTTGATAAGAGGGATATGAGAGTCGACAAAAAAATGGGCAGTGAAAACTTCTCAAAAGATCTATGGTAGTTGCAAGAGAAAAACTATGCTATACAATGTACAAGATATGGATGCAATTAAACGGTAACCAGGTAAATGTCATTGAGGATGATGCTTCAGCATATTTGTGACACAAGAGCGAGTACATATAAGTGAGAAGGGGTTGCAAGTTTTGGCAAGACAGTCTCTTATTCTTTTGACTAGAGGTGTATCTCTCGATTCATATGATCATTATTTATTTGATAAGCATCGTAGAATTTTTTTCATAAAAGTTATCAGAGAAAAGAAAATAGATTGGAATTGATTTATTTTGACGTATGTAATCTCATTAAGGTTGAGTCATTAAGTGGTAGCATGTATTTTATTACTTTTATTGATGATGCTTCACGTAAGACTTGGATGTATATATTAAAAAATAAAAGTCAGGTATTATAGTATTTTCAAAAATTTCATGTCATGGTGGAAAAGATAACAGGGTTGTCCTTGACGTGTATTGGGACTAATAATGGTGGGAAATACACATCTAAAGACTTTGAAGAATACTATTCAAAACATAAGACCAAGCATGAGATGACAAAACCTAAAACACCGTAACATAATAGTGTAGCTAAAAGGATAAATCACACAATTGTGGAAAAAGTCATATGTATGTTCAGGATGACAAAATTACCAAAGCCATTATAGGGTGAAGCAGTCAATATAGCTTGTTATTTACTTAATAGATCACCATAAGTTCTTTTGAGCTTCGACATTTCAAAAAGAGTGTGGACAGGAAAAGATGCTTTATACTTTCATTTAAAAATTTTCAGGTGTAAAGCATTCATACCTGTGCTAAAAAGAGCAGCTATCAAAGCTTGAAATAAAGCCACACAGTACGTGTTTGTAAGATATGGTAATGGAAAATTTAGCTAAAGGGTATGAGATCCAATGAAGAGAAAGACAGTCAGAAGCAGAGATATGGTCTTCCATGAAAAAAATCATAGCAAACCTTGAGAAAAATGATAAAACTACACAGGTTACTGTTGAGTGTAATGTTTCAATACTGATAGGGTTTCACAAGAAAGAGCCATAAATGGTGAAAATGAGCAAAAAATAGACCTTAGAGATATAAATAAGCCAGCCATAATTAGTAATGAGATAGATGCAATTAGTTTTGAGCAGGGAGAGCAATCTTCTCTATTTGAGAGTGTTGAGCAGGGAAAGCTACCTTCGACATCATGTGATATAGAGTTTTAGCCTAAGAGATCTACTAGAGAGCGTAGGCCATCTACTAGATATCTAAGTTCAGATTTTATTTTAGTTACCAATGAGGGAGAACTAGAAAGCTTTTCCAGATATGCAGGCTACTCGAGATAGAGAGCACTAGTTAAAAGTAATGAAAAAAGAGATTGAGTCATTACTAAAAAATGGTACATATGATCTTGTTAAACTTTCAAAAGAAAGAAGGCCATTGAAGAATAAATGGGTATTCAAGTTGAAAAATGATGGTGACAAACTAGTGAGGTATAATGCTCGATTGGTGGTAAAAGTTTTTCCTCAAAAACTAAGCATCGATTTTGATGAAATCTTTACTCCAGTTGTGAAGATGAGTTCCATTTGAGTGGTGCTAGGATTAATGGCTAGTTTGAAACTTAAGCTTGATCAATTTGATGTTAAAATTGCATTTTTGCATTGTGACTTACAAGAGGACATTTATATGAATCAGCCTAAGGGTTTTGAAGTGAAAGGGAAAGAGCACTTAGTTTGTAAACCGAAGAAAAGCTTGTATGGCTTGAAATAAGCTCCGTAATAGTAATACAAAAAGTTTGATTCCTTTATGGTGAACCACAGCTATAAAAAAAATGGTAGTGGATCCTTGTGTGTATGTCAAAAAATTTTTAGTGGTAACTTTATTATTCTTTTACTATATGTTGATAATATATTGACTAAGACACTTCACAAGGAGAAGCTTGAGCTCTACAGTAACTTAGTTGGAATGGATTCTTTGACCAAGGTAAATTTTAAATGAAATTGCTATAGTGATGAATCTCTTCCTAATGGGGCAGAAGGGGAAGATTGTTAAAAAAATGGGGTCCAGCCCATATAATTAGTTTTGGATCAATCAAAGGCCATGGGCCTTGGTCTTTCTTTTCACATAGAACCCTATCTACTTAATAAAAAGAGGTGGGGCTATTTTAAAGTAGTGTTGCAAACCAAGAAAAGAAAGAAAAAAAGCCAAAAAAATAGAGAAAAAAAAGGAGAGTTGGTTAAAAGAAAGTTAATCCATGGTTTGATTGAGCTAAAATTTTATCGGTAGGTTTATGTTTTACATTCTAGATGGTGAAGATCTAGTTTGAAGATCTCTAGGAATAAATATATGATGTATTTATTGAGTCACCTATTTGAAAAGATTTCTCTAATTGTCTTTCTCTAGTTGTTAATTAGTTTTAGTTTTAGCTAGCGAAGAATTTTGTATATCTATTATTTGATAGTGAAGATTTTTTTGGTAGTCCGTGATTTTTTCCTCTACACTAGAAGGTTTTCTACGTAAATCTTGGTGTGCTTTTTATTTTTTTTGTGTTTTTTATTATTGATTGTTATCTATTGCTGTGGGTTTATTACGATATATTACTTCTACGTTGTTGTGTTTATTGTTTTAGGCCTAACAATATAAACACCTACAATTGGCAACATTAGAAGGTTTACATTATATTAATCCCCAAAGCATGGTGGGGAGAGGATCGAATGGCTAACGACCTAGAAGCATGGTATTACTAGTCGGAGAGGTGCAATTGAAAGAGGGAGAGAATAAGAGAATGAGAGAAAGAGAGAAAGAGAGATTAGAGATTTAAAAATGGAGATTTGAGGTTTCACGGTATTACCCACCTTAAATTTTTTTAATTCTTGCCAAAATTTTACCTACAGATTATTTATGGAATGAAATTCATTGGGTAAATTTCGTCCATATTCCGCCAGTGATTTTGGAATTTTTTTACAATTATGTTTCGTTAGTATTTCATTGGTAATTTGTTGGTAAAAAATTTCGACGATAAAATTCTGTTGGTAATAAAACAATTTCTAGTAGTGCTAAAGGGGAATAAAACATTACATTGAAAAATAATCTCTATCATTTTCAAAGCCATTAGCCCATTACAAAAACCAAGAAGCATTAAACCTACATATCATTTAAAAAAAGAATAAAAATATATACAGATATTATACCTATGCATAAAGAAAACTAATTACTACCCAATTTACTATACAAAATAAGTAGACAATTACTGGATATCAACATTTTCAGTTGAACTTAATAAGGTGGTATCATCTTTGATACTCTCTTTGTCTTAAATTATTTGGCTAGTTTTTACTTTTACAGAAGTTTAAAATAAAAACTTTAATTTTAATGTATTTAATATTAAAATTATAAAATTAAAGTTCCATGATTTCTAATGTCAAAAAGTTAAAAAAATCATAAAAAATAATTTTAAAATATAAAAAGTAAGAGTTTTAGATATTCAAAAAAGAAAAAAATGATATAATTTTGGGGCATCCCAAAAAGAAAAGATGGACAAAAAAATGGGATAGAGGGAGTAATTCCTAATATTTAGGAATTTAATATGAAAAATTATATAAAATTTAAATGTTATAGATCTATATTTGAAAAAGTGAGTTTTGAGATAAATTTTATCTAATTTTTTTTAAAAAATAGTTGAAATATTTGAATACGATTAATTTTTGAGAATTTTAAGTATTTTTAAAATTAAATAATTAATTGAATAGGATGATTTGGTAAAAAATTAAAATTAAATTATCATCTTATATGTGAAAAATATAAGTTATACATGAAAATGTACACATGGCATAACCTACGTGATATAAATGTATTTAGTAATATATATATATATATATATATGATTCAAGTTATTAATACCCTTGGTGTTTAAATTTTGAGCAAAATTTTATTTGATATTTTTATCTATCACGTGAGACGTTAGTTAACATCATTCACATGATATTAATTGATACTTATTGTTTATTTAGATGATTTTATAGGTAAAATATTAAAATATGATAACTTTAAATAATTAAGAATTTAATTAAAATTTTAAAAATTAAATGTCAAAATAAAACTTGATTCAAAATTTAAAAATGATGTCAAACGATCAGCTTCCTTATACGGTTTTAGATGTGATTATGGAAACTAACTTTAAATATCATGTTAATGTTGATTTGAGTGTAGACCTGATAATTTAAAATACGACAAACGAATAAATAATACGAATAAATGATAGAAAAAAATACAATTTAAAATTTTTAAAATATCATAAGTAAGTTTAATAAAATAAAAAAATTATATTTTATATTTTCGTGTCGATATGAATTATGATATGTAATTTTCATATAAAATACTACACGAATACAATATTTTACATGACACGTTGACATAAATTACTAGATCTATTTGAAGGGTATGATGGGGAAAGAAAGGTTAAAGTATCTGATAATATTACACAAGGTAAATGAAAGAGTCTAAGCAAAAGTAAGAGGATAATTTGCAATTGCAATTAAGCTTTTAAGTAGATTTAACAATCTAAAATACGACACGAATACGATATGAATATAGAATATGAAAATGATACATCTTAAAATTTTAACAATAATTATATTTAAGTTTAACAAAATAAAAAAATATATTTTATATTTTTATATTAATATGAATTATGACACATAATTTTCATATAAAATATGATACGAATATATAAATTTTAATATTTTATATAATACGAGTATATAAATCATTAGGTTAAAATTTATCATCGAAAGCCTGTTGATAATAATTTAATTAATAAGGCTCAACTATTAAAAAGTTATGATAATGCTTAGTTATTAGAAAGTTATAATCAAATATGATATAAGCAACCATAATGTTGAAATCCCGCAGCGCAACGCTTGACGCTAGTATTCTACTACTGTATATATTTAAGAAAAATACTGAAGATATTATTATTGGATTGGGATTTCAGGATAAGATGGAAAAGAGGGTCAATTTCATCGGCATTTGCTAAGCCGTTTGTTTTCTCCACAACTGCAAACGTATCTACGGTCATCTTCCCAACCCAACCCGCTCCATTCCTCCCTTTTCTATAAATCCTATTTTTCTCTTGATTTAGTCATCAACTGTGAAATCCCCAAATCCGCTGCTGCATTTTTTGTAGAAGAGCGACATCGTTTCTGTCTCAAAAGTACACCACCACCACCACCACCACACCACTACCACCAGCAGCTGAATAGCAAACTCGCAAAACAAAGAGACCAAAATCCCAAAAGAAATTAAGAAATGCTACTCTCTCTTGTACAAAGCAGCTTCCTTTCACCATCAACTTTCCACTCCAAAAGCCACACCAACTTAAATTCTCTAAAACCCTCTTTTCTACTTCCCAATACCCTTTTTCCTATCTTCAATGTTGAACCCACCACCAAAACATCACTCAAGCTGTCACCAAGGAATGCTACCGGAATTCATGCTTCCCTGCTTGAGGCTCCAGTGCTTTGGGCTGGTAGGCTTTGCATTTACTATGCTCTCTTGAAGGCTGGTTTTGCTGGATCTGAGGCTAGCCCACTTGTCTCAGGTTATACTTATATTTATCAAGATTGGGTTTTTCATTGTTTTTAAAGTGCTGATGTGGGTTTTAATCAATTTTGATTTTTTTTTTACTTTGGTTAGGGCTCGAGAGTGGTGATAGTGTTGGTGAGTCTGGTGATTTGGGGTTCTCTAAGTGGTTGGAGAATATACAAGGGAAACCAGGTTGTTGGCTTTTCTTTATTTCCAATGATTAATTAATTTAACCCCAATTTTCTTCATTTCCTATTTCAAGCATGTTGATAAGATTTGGAAATGGAAGATCAAGATATAGAGTTGTTAAATTGTCTTAACATTTGGGATATGAAAGTTTAATGAAAGAAAAAAAAATCATGGTAGGCTGAGTTTAGTTTGGATGAAACAACACTTCTTCTAAATTACTCTCTCGGAGATTTGTGTGAGTTTATTGTTATAGGTGTTCAACGTGTTTATAAGGAGCTTTTAGCTGAATATTTGAATGTTTGGTTAGTAAATTGCATCATACATCCATTACCTTTGTAGAATATTTTAGTTCATCCTTGACCTTTAAAGTTAAAATTTTTGAGCGCAATATTTTAAAAATGTTCCAAATCCATTCCATCCACCACCATTACACATCCAGTGGAATCTACCACCTCAGCACCATGTGGACATCCAAATGGATGTCCATGGGGCAAAAATTGTGGGACCTGTTTGAGTTTTTAGGTTAGGATTTATGCCACATGGAAATCCATGTGCTTTGAGGTGGCATATTCTATTGTTTTTAATGGTGGTTTACGAAATGGTTGAATTTGGAACATTTTGAAAAAATGTGAATGAAAATGAAATATTGCACAAATGTCACTAATGATTGATGCATTTTACTTGTGTTTGGTAGAATTGTTGTTGGAAGTTATGAACTTTGAGATAAAAAGTTTTTTGTTTTATCCATTTTTTGGCTTATTGAGAATGTATTATTAAGATATCGAGTTAATTGTTCAACTTGTTTTAGTGTTCCAGATATGAAATTTAATGGTAATAATTTCTGGAAAATAGCTTCATATGGAAAAAAAAAAAAAACCAATGTTTTTCTAAATACAATAGGACAAAAATTTTCAAGGTTGCCAGAGTTCTATTTTATTTCAATCTATGAAAAGAATAAGCTTATGTATATTGCTAATTTCTCAGTGCTTGGGGTTCTCAAATCAAGTACTTTTTGTATAGTTTAAGCAGGTTTCCAATTCCATGCCTTATTTGCTTTGAGTTGTGAACTAATATAAGTGGGGTTAAATGAACTAGCCACTAAATAATTCTCTATAATCCTAAGGAATAATTAGGCTGAGTTGTGATGGTCTCATATTGTAAATTCTTGATGGAAGAAAAAAATCTTCAAAAGATCATGTGGCTTAAAATCATTGAGAGCACTAAGTCTATTAGAATTTTTATTGCATAGATTTTTGTTTTTTAAAAAATAAATTTTTTATTCTTTTTTTTTGGGGGGGGGGGGAAATAGTTTAGAACTTTCTCCTGTTCAATTGCTTCATGATCTATCTACAAGATCGTCAACTTCTAGGTTGTGTTAGTTATAGCTTAGCTCTAGATATTTTGTTACAAACATATTCAGAAGGCTGAACTTTATAGTTGGTTAGAGGAGAAGAACAATCAAGGGCATTTTTGGTTTAATCCTGATAGGATTTACTTTAATTGGTTTTGTCTTCCATCTCACAGAAGTGAATACTGAATATTAAACAGTTAATGCACATTGTAATTTGGGATGTAGTGTAATTGTAATACAACTTTCTAATTCCAAGATGGTATTTGTTATAAGGATATTTTGTTGTATCTAGAGCTGTATCTTATTTATCTTTTTGAAATATGCATGCATTCATTCTGTGTAAATGATATTGTTGATTTGAGCTTTTTAGTGCATTTATTGTTGAAGATGTATGAAACCATGTCATTACCATTGGCTTACTCTTATTATCCTTGTTGTTGCATATAATCTCAAGGCAGTGCATTTCCTTCCTTGCAAGGAATGATTCTAGTTTTGTTCTGCTTGTAGACAAGGAAGCAGCTGACAAAAGAAAGTTGGTCAGCAAATGGCATCCTACTACAAAAGGTACACTTAAAAGGAACTACAGGGTGCCTTCCAAATCAGAAGGACGGCGACTACTTAAAGCAGTTGCATCCCTACTGTCAGATGATGATCATTTTACTGATGCCACTTCTCACAAGGTAATAAAACAGCAGATTTATGAGTATCCTTTTTTCGTTATTCCATTTCATCTCTTTCATATATTGGATTTGGCATGGAATCACTGCTTTAGAAACATTATATTGTCTGCAGGGTTGTCAGATCAGGAGGGAGAGTGCTCATGGCGAAAGTGTATGCTGCAACAATGTTAGAGCTCTGTTTGATGAGCTTCCTACTCCTCACCTTACGGTTGAAATTATGCCATTTCCTGCAGGACCTCTCACTGAAATAGATTACGTCAAGGCTGAGAAATTGGAAAGGGTTCTAAGGTCCGGTCCTTCTGTTTAAAATATCTTTAAAATTTAAGCTTACCTTTTGTATGTATCCAGTTTGTATTGTACATATTAGAATTATCAACAGGAATTTATGCTCATCTACTGCTCTTGTACTTTACAACTCGATAATGAGGATATGAGAGAAAGCAATGCACTGGAATTTGAGAGGCAATGTGGGTAATCTAAGAATTATTTCTGTTGAGAGGTCTTCATTGTAGGCAATCACCATTGTGCGTAAATCCTAAAATGGAGTTGGCTAGAGACAAGACAACTCTTTGTCTAGCCTTTTGTTTTGCTTGTCTGGTATATGGGTACAAACAGCAAAAGAGATGACAAATTAGAGCTACATAGTGATGAACAGACAATTGTGAAACTGGTAGTCATGATGTCTCAAGTCCTGCTTCTCTCCAAAAGCTTAAATAGTCAAAGCAACTGAGATTTTAACTTCCCAGCCAGATTCAGCTAAGGAATGAGTAAGCAAATAGTAGATGCACATAAAATCAGCAATCATCAGCCATTGAGGAAAAGAGTTTCTATTCCTCTTCCTTTTTAATTTTAGATATTTAACATCTTCAAGCAGAAAGTCTGAATCAATTCCTAGGAAACCTATGAAATTTCATTTCCCGATTGTGGCTGTCAGAACAAGTTAATCAAAATCCTCACTACTTCACTCCTACTGAAGCCATCAAATCTACATGCTCCGGAATCCGGATCACTTTCCCGTGAATTTTTTGCTTTCCACCTCTCTGGTGTTGAGATACAGCAGCAACGGAAGTAGAAGAGAATGGATCATAAGCTTGCTTTTCAGTAGCATGACCAGAAGTAGGCCTAGTAGACTGTGGGGAGAGACTGCTGGCAAATCGTGGGTTACTGGGTTTGGAGGCGTGAAATTTCCAGGCCTAGTTGGCAGAGCTGGGTGGCGCTGTGGCAAAAGATTGGTGGGTTAGTTTATGGCACAAGAACTCTACAACTCCAGGTTCCAACTTTCAACTTAAAAAAAATAAAAAATTATCTTTTGCCCATTTCATTTCATTTTGTAGATAGCTTGGATTTCGTTTCATCAAAGTAATGCGTCTTTACAGTTATAGCTAGATTGCCCACCTTTAACATGGTTAATTGTCAGGTTGACGCTGAATTGGGTGTCATATTTTCAGCTTGAATAATAGTAGTACGTTGCCATTTGTTTGAAGCAGCCAAATGCGTTTTAATATCTGAATTCTGAAATGTTGGAATTGAATTTGAGCAATAGCGAAAAGTTTTTCATTTTTTTGCTTTACAGTGAGAAATGAAATGTTTTCATTTTATTTTATTTTATCTCATTGGAAGTGAGCCCCAACTGGCAGATCTTTCAATACCATCAAATGAGGAGTAAGGGTTCTAACTTCTAAGTATTTCTTCATGGTTGCAAGAAAGGTACAAAAAGGAAATTTTTTAGATGAATTTTGTGAAATTTATTTTTAAAGATAATTTAATAAAAATCTAAATTAATAAATTAATATAATTTAATGTGAAAATCAATAATATGTAAAAATAATTATTAAAAATGTCATTTATAATTCTATTTGATAGGCACTTATTTAATTATAAAAATTTTGTACTAAAAATGCTAATATAAAAAATATATCAAAATTTATTAAATATTTTTCAAATTTACACACTTGATCTATGTAATAAGATTTTTTAATCTATCAATTTTAATTTTTTATTTTTATTTAATTATTTTTAATAAAAAATTTTATTAACTTTTCTTAAAAAACTTTATTTAAAATTTTCCACATGGAAGACATTTGATTATATTTGTCCCCTTGTGAGAGAAGACCTTGCGTCAAGGCCACCTTCAGGGCTTATCAACATTGAGGGAAGGCTTCTCAGTGTTGAGAAACAAGTTGCAATTGAACTAAGAAGGTTAGAATCTGGCGAGTCTCAGGTGTCAGTTGGAGTTTCCTTTGGGGTTGGCCAATCTACTGTTTCTCAAGTTACTGGGAGATTTATTGAAGCATTGGAAGAACATGCCAAACACCATCTTAAGTGGCCTGATTCCAATAGAATGGAGGAAATTAAATTGAAATTTGAAACTTTATTTGGGTTGCCTAATTGTTGTGGAGCTATACATGCAACACATATTATCATGACTTTTCCAGCAGTTCAAGACTTCGGATGATTGGTGTGATTAAGAGAGCAATTACAGTATGTTCTTGCAGGGAATTGTTGACCATGAGATGCATTTTCTTGATATTGTAACAGGTTGCCCTGGTAGCACGAGTGTGTCTAGATTACTCAAATGTTTATGATTTTTCAGGCTCTGAGGCTAGGGATCGTTTGAACTCAAGTATAAGGACTTTGCCAGAGGGATTAGAAATGAGAAAATTCATAGTTGGTGGTGCTGTATATCCCCTTCTTCCCTGGCTCATAACTCAGTCTGAAATTAATGACGTTTCCTCTTCCATGTCTACTTATTTTAATGCCAAGCATCAATTGGCAACTCTCAAACAAGTTCATCCTATGTTAAACTCTAAATTAAGTTTCTTTCTCAACTCCAAAACGAGTTTTCCTTAACAACTCTAAAGGATAATTCTTTTGGACATGGTAACCAGACCATCTCACCCCAGCAACCTGAAGATAAAGTTTGAATTCTCTTGGTAGCCTCAAAAATTATCTCAACTTTGTTCCCAACTCCAACAATCTCTCTTGACGACTTCAAGAAACATAATTTCAGACAGCCCAAGGTTTATTTTACATCCTGAAATCGATAACCTAAAGTTAAATTTCCTTTCCCCTTGATAACTCTAAGACTCGATTCAAAAAACCTAAAAGGTTATTCAAGTCCAATTTCGGTCGGACAATCCTGAGTTTCAATCATCTCTTTTCTTTTGGTAGTCCCTACAGACGATTCAAACAACTTTAAGCGGTCATTCAAGTCCAATTTTGGCAATACCAAGTTTTGGTCATCACTTTTTTCATGGCAACCCCAAAGAATTATCTCAAATTTGTTGGAAATTCCAACAACCCTTTCGACAAATGTAAAAAGTCATCAATAAAAACCGATTCTGGCAACTTGAGTTTCGATACCCTGACAACCCCGAGGGTAAATTCTAAATCAATTCCTGCAACCTCGAGTTTTGATTTGGCTAATCCAATTCCTACAATCGAATCTTGGATTAAACATCATTAGACCAAAAATACGATTTCGGCACCCTCAAGTCTCGATGCCTCGACAACCCTAACGGTGAAGTCCAAATCAATTCTGGTAGCCTTGAGTCTTGATTTAACTAATTCAAATCCAATGATCGAGTCTTGGATTAAACATCATCTAATCAAAAATCTGTTTTTGGTAACCTCGAGTCTTTATACCTAACAACCTTGATCGTAAAATCTAACTCAATTTCAACAATCCAAAGTTTTGATTTGACTAATCTTAATCCAATTACCAAGTCTCGTACTATACCAAAGCCTTTAATATTGTATTAGAAAATGTTTTGATTTTTTTTAAATAATATATATCGATACTAGTCATTTGTGTATATTATTTTTTATTTTTTAATTTAGTAAAAATATATTTATAAATATACATGAATTTGTATATAATAATACTATTAATAATCTACAAAGTAAATATACAATATCTTCAAAAACTAAATAAATAAGTTAAAAATATAAAAAATAGTATCATCAATTTATCATGATATTTTTAAACACTTAATTTAATCATATGATATTTAAATGAATATTTTTTACATAAATATTAAGATAAAAACAAAGAGAACCAAAAAATTATCTTGATTTCATGATTATTAAACTTTAAAGGGAGTAATTATTTTTTAAAAAAGAGATTGAAATATTTATGAATTTTGATTTAAAGAAATAAAATATAAAAAAAAGGTTCCAGTAAAAAATAGAGAATCCTAACTTTCAAAGGTTATCTTGTCAATTAATTTTATTTTTATTAGGTTAAAAATAGTCAAACAACAAAAAGGCAAGTTAAAAAATTATAAAACATATTTTACATTCACGTATTGGCCAAGCAAGCTAATCCATCAAAATTCGTCGAAACCAATTGAAACTAATGAAAACAAATTACCATTAGATGTCCCATATTTTGGTATAATTAGAACATATCGGCCAGTATGGTCGGTATTAAAACGAAATTAACAACATTGGATAAAACATTGTCATATAAAAAATTCAATTCTAACAACCCCAAGTTTCGGTGTCCCGACAATTCTGAGGGTAAAGTCCAAATCAATTTTGGTAGCCTTGAATCTTAATTTGGCTAATCTAAGTTTGACGACTAAGTTTTGGATTAAACATTTTCAAATAAAAAATTCGATTCAGGCAACCCCAAATCTTGGTACCTTGAAAAACTTAAAAGGCATTCAGTTCATGAATTCTTAGATTCTAGGAGGAAAAGTGTTTAAAAGAAAGTGATATTGATGTAAAATATGTGATTTTTTAGGTTTTTGTTAACTTAAAAAATGCAAGATTTTTGTATTTAGTTTATAAGAATGTAAGATTACTTAATAAAATCTTTTATCATCTTGTTCTTAATAACATGTGAATAACATATGATATTTATAACACTAATATGTGAATAACATGTGACACATGAATAAAATGTTATCTTTGTTGAAAGTAAATAATTTTTAAAAATAATGTTTTATATTTTCAATAAATATAATCTTATAATTCTAATTATTATTTTAATATTGATTGGCCTTATGTAGAAAAAAATTCATGGATCAACCTTTGAAACATCTTAAAAAAATACATTTTTATCTTAGAGACATATCTTTAATGAATTATGAAAAATATATATTTTTTGAAAATTTAACAAAAACTACGTTTTTATCTTAGAAACGTCATCATTTCAACAAAGACTATATTTTCTATCTTAAGAACATTGTCTCTGTTGAATTTTGAAAAATATTTATTCATTTTTTAACAAAGTCTGCATTTTTTATATTAGAAACGTCGATTTTGTTAAATTCTGAAAAATATATTTTTTCATGTTTTCACCAAAGATTGAATTTTTTTTTCTTTTTAATATTTTCATCAAAAACTACATTTTTATCTTAAAAATGTAATTTTTTCAGCAAAAACTATATTTTCTATTGTAGCAACATTGTCTTTGTTGAATTTTGAATTTTTTTTCATTTTTTTAACAAAGACTACAATTTCTATTTTAAAAGCATCATCTTTGTTAAATTCTAAAAAATAATTTTTTTTTTCATATTTTCAATAAAACTGCATTTTCTATCTTAAAAATATCATTTTTGTTGAATTCTTAAAAATATTTTTTTATGTTTTCAATAAAAATTACGTTTTTATCTTAGAAACGTCTTTAAATTTTGCGAATTCTTAAATTTCATATATAAAGTCAAGATCACTTTCCTTCTAAATTACTTTCCATCTCTTAATTACTATGTTTTATCAATTACTATATTTTCATACTAAGAAATATTGTTAATAATAAAATTATAAAATTTATTTTATTATTATTTTCTACGATCAACTACGTTTCATATGTTAAAACATAGTGCTTCTAAAATTATAAAAAATTCAAAATTCATATTTTCAACAATCTACTACGTTTTTCTTTTCAAAAGATTGTTTTTATTATAATTAATTTTTCATAATATATAATAACATATTATTACATTTTTAACATAACAACGTTTTGTAAATGAAAACATTTGAATTTATTTCGATACAACTATGTTTATAATTATGAAATGTTGTCTTTTTAAAATTTTAGCAGTTGAAAACAAATATTTAAATTTATAAAAATTCAATTACACATAATCATTGTTAGGTATCCAATTATGTGGCTAGGAATGCAACTTTGCGTGTCAGAATATGTCTTGATTTATCATATAATTATGTTGATTTTCAAAGGTAAAATAGATCGTAGTAAATTATTATTGAAGGCAAAAGTGAGACAAATTTTGCATTCCATCAGGAATATTAAAAAACCTTAAAAAGATATTGGTTTTTGATTTAGGGCATCACCCTCCTTTTCTTGACATTGTTAGGAATATTAAAAGACCTCGTAAATCAAATTTCATAAACAAAACTAAGAAATCAAATTACAAAAAGCAAGATTTTGACCAATAATTTAACTTTTTGTCGAACCAAACGTCCTTGAAGGGCAAAGACGAAATCAATCCTGAGAGCACATGGTTTTGATTTGGCTAATCCAATTTT